CCTTTGATGAGACGTTCTCGGATTCCCCTGCTGAGCAGTGATGGATATACCACTTGAGAAGGATCTGAGGAACTGTCAAGCTTGGCTGTTGCGCACGTTGGCAGGAAAGTGTCTAACGTTCAAGGTATGTTTGAGCATTTCTTGATTGTGGGACCGCAGCCGGTGAAGAGACTTTCTCGGATTCCCCTGCTGAGCAGTGATGGATACCGCTTGAGAAGTATCAGAGGCTTTCTGCGTCAGTTTTTTTTCAGCACGCATTGGCGCATTGGTCAGAAACATATTTGATGCATGATGATGCATGAACATTCTGTCGGCAAAGCTTAAGTGGAGAAAGAACTCTATATTTGAATCTTCAAGTCTATATCCAACAAGAGTCATGCTCTTGCATTGTGTGCATAGGCGGGAAGAGTTTTGATGCCCAGGTGCTGTCCATTTCCATCATTATCCTTCCTGTGAAGAGACGTTCTCGGATTCCCCTGCTGAGCAGTGATGGATCCCACTTGAGAAAGGTCAGAGGAACTGTTCTTGTTCAAGTCGTAGAGCGTTTGAAACAACAGTTCTTGTTTACTGGGTCTTTGCCCGTGAAGGGATGTTCTCAGGATGCCGAGTCATGACAGATCTTTGATGTGTAATCATTCTTTTGCACTTCCATTCAGACGGTTCGGTTGTCCTGATTGCATGAGTTCAAAGAAGTAGCCAAGTAGCAAGTTGTCCCTAAGTCACCCAGTGACAGTTATATATCCGAATTTTGTCGACACGGCACGTGGAGTCGTGATACTATCGAAGGGTCAAACACAGGAGTCTGACTGCCTACTGAGGTTTACAACACAGTGGTCAATTAATTTCAGCTTTGATGAAAGACATATTCAAACCCAGCGGAGGAAGGAAGACACTTTTCTTCCATGCAGAGGGGGTTTGTGGCTATGATGTTCAACTGAGTGCTGACATATCTAGACCTTTTCACCCCAGCTTGTGTTCCCCTTGCCCCGGTCATCTTTTCAATCCTTGGTCCTGAAGAGGTGTGGCCGGATGGGATGAGGCAGGACCACAAGAGCCAAGGTGACAGGCCTTGCTGAAAGGTCTTGGTGAACCTGCTAGCAATGGCCTCCAACCTAGCCTCCAACCTACTAGCGATGGCCTCCAACCTACTAGCGATGGCCTCCAAATGCTCAGCCATGAAAGAATGGCATAGAATCGCAGGAGGACCATTCAGGTGTGTGTAGGAGAAGTCAGGGTGGTGAAGAGTCTGTCCCTTCAAGTTCTTGCCCTCAAAATCCAGGGGAAGTTGAAAGAGTGAACCAAAAGGTTGAAGGAGTGAGTGACTCAAAGAAGTCCTGGACTTCAAGAGGGGTGACAGTCCGGAGCGGCTCACTTGCTGGCCAGCAAGCTGGACGGTTTCGTTCGTTTCGTCATGGGAATTACCTGCCAACACATGGAATGTTGCCATTTAGAATGCTTGACCATTACGTCCAAGACGCACCACCGATCATGGCCTGCTTTTTGACCACATCGTCACATCATGGTGTAATCCTTTCGTTTCGATGCTTGCGCTTGCTCGTGTGGCCTTCATAGGCGCTGCTGCTGATGCTTGAGCGATCTTTTCAGGCCTGATCAGTTGATCGGTGATAGGTATTGGACAACTGGGAAGGCAGGAGGAACTCATGTGGAACATTGTGATGGAAAATCGCTGCCCACAAGTCACAGCCCTAGAATGTGTGTTTTGATCACAAGTCTGCGAGTATGATTGGGGATAATTTTGTTCTACACTCAGAGCAGGGTCAGGGTGATAGGTGATACAGTGATACATCAAATATGCTGCACTATGTTAGCAAATGTATTATATAATTTGTGCTGCTCAAAACGTGCATTCCTCGCTAGTCTACAGAGACGATGTTGGGACAAAGTGCCAGAACATTGTCAAAACGAGTCTACAGTGGTATTGAACAATGGTGTGTGTGTGTGCGTTTGTGTGTTTGTGTTTGGAAGATTTGTACTTCCAAATTTAATGAATTGTCTACTTTCCACTTGATCGCCCTTCCTCCAATGAAAAAAATATTGTGTGACAAACCTTTGCAGGGAAGGAGTTGTTTAATGCGGGGTCTTTGGTATTATTGGTGTCTTTGGCCTGAAGCCAACACGGAACGAACTGTCCTGGTCATGACAATGGAAGCTGTCCTGGAGCCGTGCACTGGTGACCCAATAGTGAGGACCTGATCCCACTGAGAGGCTGGTGACGTAGAAGTCCTGAGTCCACTGAGAGGCTTGGTCCTTCCCAGGACGTTGAACCCCGAGGGGCCAACCTGAAGAGCTCCAGGTTTGGGTGAAAACGGCTGTGCTTGCCGTTGACCCTGGTCATCTACAGGGTCTTGTACCTCACAGGTTTAACCAGGGTGGCCAGGCCGCGCACACGTTGTTGCAGGTGGAGCCTGGATCCACCTGGAGACTGGAGCTCGGGGGCCCGTTGCGGGCGGAGGGTGGAGCCACTCCAGTAGTGACAGAAACGGCGACCGGAACGGGGCCCCGGAGCAGTTTGGAAGAGGCCTTTCATGGACATACCGGGTAGCGCCTGCAAGTCCTTTCAGTATGGTCAGCTGATTGGACCTCACCTCCATACGAGGCATACGCTGCTGCGACAGCATCTCACCTCTACAAAGGCCTGGGCCGTGCGAACGTATGTGCATGCTAGAGAGGCCCATTGGGCCCGAGATGCCGGGCGACAGACATCTCGCCGTGCTACGAGTATAGATGAGTTCGCAGGTCAACAGCCAATCACCATACAGACATGCAAGTGTATCCCAGATAAACATCCGATTGGCACACGCAGGTACGCGTCTCTGAACGCCTGGCAGCGCAAGTGCGTTTTCGCGAAGGGGTGGAGGATAGACATTTTGGATGCAGCTGGGCAGTGCGACTGGGTTGCTAAGAAATTAAGTTGCATAGATGCTGGTCAACTTGCTGAATCACAAATTGACGATGCTTTCAGATAGGTATGTGGTTTCAGAACTCCACAGCCTCCTCTCAAAGCCGAAGTGGTTTCGTAGAGCAGCTGAGCATCAAATCAGAGTGAACCAAGATGGTGGCCGCTCGTGGGTAGTTGAACTTGAAGAGCCCCACCTTCCTTTAAAAGAAGATCTGAAGGGGTATTGGACGCATGGAGGCGCCATGTTCTTCGGCATGGGTGTGGGGAGAAATTCCCTCGTGCTGCGCTCCTCGAGGGCGACAGTGGTATCTTGCAGCTCCTCCATGTTTCATCAAGCAGCTTCCCCCAATAAACATGCATCTCAATGCGCTGAATGGTGTTCATCCCGCGGGATGGCGGGATTCTACGGAGCCTTCTTTCAACAGCAACCAGCTTGAGATCGGCATGCAGTTTTGGGTGAGTGTTTCTCACCCCAGTCAAAAAAGAGAGCAGCTCTACACCTACATAGCTTACATCTTCAACTTCTTCTACCCCTAACGCCATGGGTGTGTAGCGGTTCGGAGCCATGGAATCATCATCATAGCCCCTTTCCTTTGTCTCTGCCATTGAATCCGATGCTAAGACGGTCTTTGTTTCCAGGACCAGCACGTTGCCATGCTGCGCTACGTCTTGGCGGTGCGTGTGGGCGTGGGCGGGCGCCTCAAAGGAATTCCGACTCGGTGTGATCATCGTGATGGACCGAACAAGACCGAATCAGGAAGAAAACGCCATTTCAGGGTTTGAACTTCTTACGCTTTTGATCTGTTCAGTGACTTTTAAGTCGGTGGTGCTTCTTCTTCTGGGGGCGCTTTTGATCTGTTCAGTGGCTTTAAGTCGGTGGTCCTTCTTCTGGAAAAACAAATACGAGAGCTCTTCGCTCATGAGCACTGCACGCGCGTGACCTCGATCCTCCCGTCCATGAGCCGTTGGTCGTTGACTCGTCCGGTCCGGTTCACCGCGTCCGGACTGGGCCAGGCTGGAACGAGAGCTCCCAAAGCTTCAGTGGCCCAGTGTCCATCCTCCCGACTGGTCCAGGCGAAGGGCGGATGGCGAGGGGAAGGGAGGGGAGGGGGGATATGCGAGCCGACGGGCGCAGGAGAGGCACCGCCAGAGTAGTCTATTTTTGCATGGTTTTGGGCAACCCGGAGATTTGCTGGTTTATAATTGACTCGTAGTTTGCTATTGCGATTTGAACATTATTACTATATATATATATATGTGTGTGTTTTTCTTATATATATATATATACATTGTACGTTGTTCGAAATACAAGAAACAACAGGTGTTTTCATCAAAGTGAACAACTAGTAGGAAGTTAGAAACAGAAGGTCAACTCGATTACAGGCTTTCCGTTGAAGGGCTCAGGGGCAGTGAATTAGTCTCACCTCTACTGCAACGAACAAAGCATCTCAGAGAATCTGGCGGGTTCTGGCTGCGCGCAATGTCCGACTGTCTCAAAATGAGGGGAGGCAAATGTCTGACCATTGGTTCTTCCTTGTCTTTTGAGGCAAGCCAGTTTCCTGGACTTTTGGTGCGGCCCATCAAAGTGGTTGCTTCATCTAGACCAACTGTTTCGAGCTCGTGGTGTCCGTACACCACTGGACGTCTCGCGGGTGCTTGGAACCGTGCAACCGCAGGGGACGTGACGGCCGTCGCTGGCCTCAGCGATCGCGCGGTGGATGCGGAGGGTGTGGGTTCCAGGATGGGGGCCTGAAAGAAGTTCAACTGAAGACCTCCAGTCGCGCAGTCTGACCATCCTCCAACAGTTGGTTTGATGGGTGGGGTGGAAGGTGGACATTCTTGAGGACTTAAGGACGTTCTTTCTTGAGGCTCCTGCTAGTGCAATGTCACCTGTCTGGCCTCTTCAGGCCCCACACCAATAATACCTGGAGACTTGCAGTTTCTGGAGTACACTTTCTCAAGAACGGCATCAAAGTTGATATTCACACGCCTTCTTCTATCCACTTGGCCTTCCCAGGAAGGTGTTCCACAGTTGCAAATGTATGGCAAATTCGTCCCTAGGTTCACCCAGGTAGAGCTGGCTCAGTACCAATTGTGCTCGTGGCAACAAGTGGCAAATGTGGACGAGCAACCCAGATTTTGACTCAATATGTTGGCTCATTGCGTTCTTTTCAAGCAAGGCCACCCAGGGGCAAAGAGCAAGAAACGAGCACATACACCATAGTGACCATAGAGTACGTACTACTTATTATATAGATTATAAATGCATGTTTTACAAGCAAGGAATTAGAGCCACCGTGAGTCACCATGGACTTCACCCAGAAAAACGTTGATGTGAGGTCATTTATCTCAGTGCTCCTCCTCGCGACCCGCGGAGCTCAATGGGTGCCGCTCTCAGCTGTGCACGTCAAAAAGAGTTTGAGCCATTGATGCATCAAGTGAGAATGCAGTGGAAGCCTTTGATGGCGGCACGTCACGCAGTTTCAGGAAAACTGCCTAGAGCGATGATTCCTTGTGGCTCATCAAGCTGGAAGCCATGAACCAAACAAGATGTTCAAGGCTATATCATTATCGATCAACGGCTGATATTCCTTCACGAAGCAGCAGCTGCTGAGCCAATCAGATTGGTTCACCGTACTAAAACTTTAACATGAGATTCTCGTGTGGGAAGATGAAGTCCGAAGCGTTATTGGACAAGTCAGTGGTTTGATGAGCTAGGGCTAAGCAGGTCTAGGGAGTACAGGTGCACGTGCAAGCGATCCAAGAATCTTGGTGCAGAGCATGGGGATCGGGATCTCATACTCAAAGCCCGATCCACAGACACAAAAATACACAAACTATTCAAATCACAAGTGCCAACTTTTGTCTGAGAGAAGTCAAGGTGACAGGCAAACTTCAAGCCTCCCAGGTTTCCCAAAGGGCGGGGACCTCGCCGCATGCCATGGCATGCCGAGCACACTCTTCACCTTCGGCTGCGGCCCCTACGGCGAGCTGGGTCATGCCAGGTCTGAGAATCATCCATGCCCAGAACCCACGGCAGTGCATTTCCCAAGCAGCGCCCCTCGGAATGGCGAGCCGCTGGTCGAAGCCATCGCAGTAGGAACGGACCATTCCCTGGCGGTGGTCGGGGGCAAAGTCTACCGCTGGGGATTGCATGGCGCACATGCGGTGCCGCGCTCTTGGCGTGGTCGGTGCGAAGAGAGGACGTCGTCCTCGGTGGTGCCTGCACCACTTCTGCTGGCCGATCTGCGAGGTCGTAGCCCATCACCAAGGGGAAGGCAGTCGCCACTGAGGCGAAGTCAAAGCCCACGAGGTCGAGGGTGCGCAGCTATTGCCTGTGGGGGTTCCAATTCTTTTTTGCTCAGCACAGATGGTGAAGTCCTGATGTTTGGAGGGTTGTGGCCCCCTGGGGGAGAAACAGATCAGCTTCGGCACCTGTGGGGAACCGCCCGAGGTGGTCCTTCATCAAAGGTGGCGCAGGTGGCAGCAGGATGGAGACATTGCTTGTTCCTCACAGAGGCCGGCCGTGTTTTCGCGCTGGGTGATGACGAGTTTGGGCAGTGTGCAGGTAGTGGGAGTGGAGCAGCAGCTATTCCCTTGCCATCTGCACAGATGGCAGTTGGGGTGGCCGCTGGTGCATGCCACTCCTTTGCCTGGGACACTGAAGGCAGTGCCTTTTCCTGGGGTCACGGCGGCAATGGGAGGTTGGGACTGGGCTCGTCCCATCATCGGAGCAGCCCTCACAAGGTGGATGTGGCAAAGGTTTGTGGAGTAAGTTGTGGCGCTAACTTCAGTTTCTTTGTCACTGACTTGGGGCGCTTGTGGGCTTGTGGAGGAAACCACTATGGGCAGCTGGGCAACAACGAGTCGACGAGCTCCGCAACGACCACGCCTGTGCCAGTCCACTTGGATGAAGAGGTCGTTGGTATCGCCTGTGGTGCCAACCATGTGATTTGCCTCACGAGATTTTCAGAGCCGAAAGATGGGAGACTTCGAAGGGAGCAGAGGAACACTGTTTGGGCCTGGGGCAGCGCCTCATCAGGGCAATGTGGCCGTACCGAAAGAACAGCCGAGCTCAAAGAAAGCCAGCTACGGCCTGAGAGGCTCTTGGATTTCTCTCCGCCCTCGCCTCATTTTGCTGTGGCCGTTGCAGCCGGCCGCAGCCACTCAGCCGTTTTGGCCTCCCGAGGTGATGGTTCGAAGGTCCTCGAGAATCGTTTGAGTCCCAGAAGTGAGCCTCGACTTCCGGTGTCGCCACCACCAGGTGAGGACATCATTGAAGAGTTTCTCATCGGCTTGGTGGAGCCCAGTGGGGCCAAGTCCATCTCTCTGGTAGAGCTCGGTGAAGCTGCTCTCGAAGCGGACCACCCCGAGCCCCTGGATCGGCGTGCCCGTCATGGAAGCGCGCGCCGAAGCGAGCGCCGGCTTCGCTCGCCACAGCGAAGACGCTTGGGCGGAACCCCCTTGCGCCAGCGGCGGCCCAACACCGCTAGGCAACCCTTGACGCCCAGGCTTCCAGGGCCTCCAGCGCCTCCAGGGCCTCAAAGTTGCAAGCCTCGGACCGAGCCGCTGACGTTGTCGGAGCCCGTGACGGTACGAACTCAACCACCTCGGACCGTGCGTGCCGTGTCTCCAGTCCCTCGGGCGGCGGCAACAGCCGCGACCGTGACAGGTTCCGCGACCGGGCGCCTTCTAGCAGAAGCTTTGGCGGTGCAAGCAACACCTGTGGATGACAAGTGGAGTGGCATCCATGAGAGTTTGAAGGGGCTCAGTTCCTTCATCGCCAGGATCGGCTCGCCGGAACGTTCACTTCGATCTTCCCTTCCTCAGGCCTGAGAATGACTGGGCTTGGTACTGGACCTTTTGGGGGTTCCAATATGATGTTATTTCATTAAACAACGTGCTATTATTATTTATTCAGATTGTGTGGTATTCACATATCTTGGGATCTTGGAGTCCCAATATGTCCAAATGCACGAATGGTAGGGTTTGGGCTTCTGGCGGACCACACACCTAGCTAGCCAGGTCTTTTTCTCTCAAACCTGAAAGCCTTCACCTCAAATCTGTTTGCCTGTGACCTGGGTTCTTTCCTATTCTCACCTTTCACAGGAAAGCAGCAGCAGCTCAAGGTTTCATTATGCTTTATAGAAAACCGTCAAACAAAAAGACGGAGAAACGTTGGTTTCATTTGCAACCCCCGGAGGTCTCAATGCCAGAACGCATCTCAGTGTGGCAAGGTCCCACAAGCTTCGGCGATGTGACTGAAAGGGTCTCTCAGTCAAAGGAGCCGCCTCCTGTGGAGATGCCTCATGTTGAAGCACCAATGACACCTTTGCGGCCAAGCCCTCAGCGATGCGATGAGAGCTTAAGCGATGCTTTCGACTTTTCGCCGCACTCAGAGGGGGATGAACCATACCAGCTTGTGGAGGAAGAGAGGCAGCATGACCCAAGAAGAGAGCAGACGGGCCGTCACAAGGCCAAGGCTCACCCACAGGAGGAATGGTGGAAGGAGCAGCAAAGGCAAGGACAAGAGCAGCGATTGCAGAACCAAAAAATGCGATCAGAGCAGAGGATGCAAGAAATGGAGCGGGAAATGCAGCGCAGAGATGAGGAGAGGCTTCGAGAGGAAGAGCAGCGACAAGAAGAGGAGAGATTGGAGCAGCAGCGAAGGCACGAGGAGCGAAGAAGAGAAGAAGAGCAGCAAAGAGAAGAGGACTTGAGAAGAGAAGAAGAGCAAAGAAGGCAAGAGGAGCGAAGAAGAGAAGAAGAGCAAAGAAGACAAGAGGAGCGAAGAAGAGAAGAAGAGCAAAGAAGACAAGAGGAGCGAAGAAGAGAAGAAGAGCAAAGAAGACAAGAGGAGCGACAACGAGACGAAGAGCGGCAAAGAGAAGAAGAGCAAAGAAGAGAAGTGCAACGGCTGCAGACGAGCCGAAGCTCCATTGAATCCACGACCACCGAAGATCCTCAGGCTGATGCCAATGCCTCATTCACTTCAACTCCACCCAGACTGCCTGCGAGCGCCTTGCGGCGGACTGAGCTCACACCTGGCACTGATGGAGGCCACACCATGTCCTCAGAGAATGTCGTGAGCCGCGCTCGTTCCTCCCCTGATGTGGACGAGATTCTCGCAAACCTAGAAAGTGAGGAAGAGTCCACTGAGGAGGAGGATGGAGATTGGGTTTGATGCTTTGGACGGCCAAAAAAGGGCCACACATGTACAAAGGCGATCTTTTAATTGAAAGGATGCTGGACATGTTTGCTTCAGCTTAATTCGTGTCAGCGAATGCACCTTGGTCGCACTTGCCCCCAAGTGACAATGAAAGAGAGCGAGCAGAAGCCAGGAACAACTTTCACACAACCTGAAGCCTGTGTCATCTATGTTACATGGAATAGATGGAATCTCAATATTATCACTTATAATATGATATATCATCATCATCATCATCATCATCATCAACAAAATTGATAGGTTGGGTCTTGTTGCATGTCCGTTGCCAGGCCCTTTGCAGATCACATGGCAGGGTCCAAACAGCAGGACAGTGGGACGGTTCACTACTTTCAGAAACTGGCGCGCATGCGGGATGAAGATCTGCAAACATCCAATGCAAAAAGTTCAGCAATGCACACAAATAGATCCTGAAGGACATCCAGACTTTTGTTTACTCATCAACTCTCCGTCTCCGTCATTTGCCTCGTTCACAAAGTGCTTCATGGCTATCTCGCTTGACAGTGGCTTCTCTTCGGCACGGATCTGCAGAAGAACCTGTAAATCTTGGGTGAGGAGGATTTCCTTGTACTCAAGATTTACAGGTTCAGGAGTACTCCTAGCGGGCCTTGTACAGGAGTACCATGATATACTGTACTGCCCGTTTCAGGAGTACAGTATATATCATGGTTTGCCGCTCCCTAGAAACCATGGTTTGGCAGCACTCGTGTGAACTCAACATCCCTTTAGGCCCACCTTCAGAGGGTTTGGCTACAGAAAAAACCGTGGAAAACAGCAGCAACCACAATAAGCATGGTTTGAGCGCTGTGTAAACCAACTTCCCATTAGATTCGGTTCTTGCAGTGCAAAAATCGTGCCATATGGAGGATGAGTCGGCAGCACATGCCTCGTGGCCGCCGGCTGAGCGTTTTGGGCCCACATGTACGAGAGGCCAGGCGTAGTGAGTCACGGAAGGACTTTGAGTAAGGCCCAAGAAGCTTTCAAAGGTTCTATGAGTCTATGACAGACTATAAGTATCAGTGATTATACATACATATATATATATATTTTATTTATAAATATATGAGTATTATTATGTCGATGTGCCTGTGACTCAATGTGCTTTTAATGCTTGGCTTGGACAGAAGACCAATACTTGAGAGGCTGGGGCATGGCGGTTGACGGTCTCTTGGACAGCGCCAGACGTCACTTGCCACCACATCCATTGAATTGAAAAGTGGTCACATCGCCAGTCAAGAACCAGTAAGGGTATGTCAAGAGGAAGGACACCCCAAGAACCTCAAAAGCCAGAAAACATGCGTTCAAGGGGATGCCGGGATCCGTTGAGAAAACCTCATTCCGTGCTTTGCAAGATGATCCCGTCGGAGCTTGAACGTTCGGAAAAAAAAAAAAAAACGAAGTTCATCCAACCTGGCATCAAAAGCTTGGCATTGGGGTCTCGTTTTGTGGCTCATTAGATGTTTTTCCATGACTCATGGGTCGGGAGGTTGTAAGAAAACATGCATGACCATCCGCTTGATCCATGTGCGGTGGAATTTGGTCAATCCAAGCCGATCCCGGAACCGGGAAGCGGAAGCATCATGAGATGGGTGGCCTCCATCGGCTTTTCAACATAAAAGACGAAGCAGTCAACTGGGAACAGCTATGAACAGCTCCAGAAGTTGGGAGGTGAACTCCAACAAGATCGGCAATCTGGTTCATTGTTCTTTCGACCTTTCCGTGACTGGGTGCTTCCTCTATGCAATTATGTACTCGTACCTTGCTACTTGGCCCACTTTCTCATGAAATAGAGCACCGCGTGGAACACCTGGGCTTGGGTTAGTGGTTAGCGCCTGATGAACCTTTCATCACTGGTGCCAGTCGCTGAACCACATATTCACTGTCACTAGAATCCTGGAGCAGAATTAGCCCTAGTGACTTCAAATGGCCATCAAGTACATGGTGTAAATGTGAACATCCTCAATGCTTTACACTGGGCTGGGCTTCGACAAGCTTCAGCTTCAGAACCTGCGGAGGGCCCCTCTCAGCGAACTGAGTTGCTCCCTGACATGTCCTAACTCAACAACTGACGAGCTGCGTACACGACTAAATAACACTTCTGTCTCCTGGGATGAATCAACAGCACCCGGAGAAAACTATGTTTGTTCCAAAAGAACCGTTTAACAAACTCACTAGGAATAGAATGGAATAGAGCTATGGTTTTTCATAAACTACATATGCTGTTTCTGTTGTTTGTTGTTTGGCTGTCCACAAGTCCCAACTCTTTGTTCCCACATTCCCAAATCCCGCACCAATACTTTGCAAATGTAACACAACTTTGTGATTTTTGAGATGGCTTTCTTCATCTTTCTTCTATTCAGTGCATTCCATTGCGCGGGGTGGCAGTTTAGTAATCATAGGTGGACATTCTATATTCAATGATTCATCATCCCCCTAACCACCCAAGAAACCAACAACACAGGGTGGTAGATACTCTCACCCATCCGGCTCACGAACCATCCCCAGGTCCATGAGCACTTCCATGCCACGTTCCCTCCAGAGCGGCCAACGCCACGACTCACATCAGTGGCCTCAGCGCCTTGGTATGCGTGTCTCGGGGACGGCGTCGGACGGTCTGGAGTGGAATGCGAGGATGGCATGGATCCTCCGTGCTTCCGAGGAAGAACACCGAGGACGAACCGATCCCGACAGGACGGGGAAGTGTTGACGCGGCGGACCAGCGCAGCGACCCGCAGCGGTGTCTAATCATAGCAACATACACTACGGTCGCATCGTATCTAGTTTCCATTCGTTTCCCACGTCCTTGAGGTGACGCGCCGTTGCGCTTGCAGGTGATGCAACGCCCGCTAAATCGCGAAATAAAGGATTCGTTGGCCGAGTTTATACTTTCACAGGGCATACTTCCCCTAGGGCATCTGAATGAAATGGACTTCACTATCCCGTAGTAGTGACAAGAACGCTTTTGAAAAGTTTGGACACTTCAAACCACGCGGCTCGCCTTGGGGAATAAGTTTCTCACTACTCCATAGCAGCATAGCTGAACAGTCTGGAGACTTTCCAGAGCCTTGTTTGGGTTTTTCAGGTGCCTACCCAGAGCTCCTTGTCCTTCACAAGGACTTGCATTCCGGAGCGGGGGGGGAGCCAGAGGGGCGATCATTCTCCGAGGTCTCTTCGAAGAGATGGTGATCAGCAAGCTGATCCCTCAAAGCAATTGGTTGACTCAGTGGTTGACTCATGTTGACACCATTTCGCTTCACGAAGGGTGCCATTTCACGCGATTCGTCCGCTCAGGTGTCGGAATCCCACCATGTCGATTCCTCGAGTCAAGCCCGGGATGACCCGTGGATCGAGTCGTGTCGCTCTGTTGCAGAACAGTCCGGGCCAGAACGAGTACCGAAGATGCGAGCCGGGCCGGGTCGGAGACGAGCGGTCCCTATTTCTGCGTCCAGGCCTTTTGTGGTCTACGAAGATGCTGATGATCTCATGAAGAGTCTGGAGATCCCAGCGCGGCGTTTTCGTTGGTTGGCTGAGAGAAGTTCAGAAGGCGAGAGAGGGACCTACAGCTATTGGCGGGCGAATACTCCGGGTATGTCAATGCGAGAGCGTGAACTTGTGAACATTTGTGAGCTACTTAGCCATGATACCAACATGGTTTGTCAAGTTGCTGCCAACTAGACTATACAATACTCTGCAACAAGCGTTTGGAGAACATTTGTTCATGCAAGTTCCAGTTCCTTTTGCTGTCACACCCTGTGCATCCAGTTCAGCCTGTTCCCCCGCCCAACGTGGTACGCGCAGATGGTCTCAAGTTTTGCCCACCGCGCCGCATTAATTGTGAGTTGATGTCCACAAAATTGATGAGTTTTGGGGCACCGAGGATGCAACGAGAGCTGCCTGAGGATGTACTGGCAAGTGGAGTTGAGCAAAATGAGAGGGAGGCTGTGGGGAAGATCTTCGCTGGGTCAGGAGTTTGATGACTTCTGAAACAGAAAACAACTATAGCAGAAATTGGATAAATCCGGATCCAAGATAGTAAGTGACTTGGGTTGCAGGACAACTCGTTTTGTTTCAGTACTCGTCGCCTTCAGGCCCCGCCCTGGGTTGGGGACGAGAGCGCTATCACCAGACACACCAAGCTTCCCAAAGGAAAGGATGGAACTTGACAGAACTTGACCATCGTCATGACATGACTTCGACGTCATGATTTCGACGTCATGACTCATGTTTTTTGACTGGCTAAGATGTCGTTCGCAAGTCATGGAAAAACGGATTCAACAGCGGGATTCAACTTGCTCCTACTTGAGCCGAAAGACATCCGACTCTCCAAGCCGGAGTCGCTTTTCCGAGCCGCCAGATCCAATGTATGTTCTACATGTTCCTTCGCCCTGGTCTTCTCCAATGTGGCATTGCTTGGATTCTTGCTTGGATCAAGCATAAGACGTATATAAGACGTATTCGTGACAAATGTTGTTATTTTTTGAGAGCTGTGGCATGACAAGAGGTCGTAATGGTTGGAAAGCATGCGCGGGGGTCTATTTTCCAATGAGACCGCTCAGGTAGGCATGAATCTCAAGATTCCTCAAATATGCAGCAGGAGGTCTTTTTTATCTCAGTTGATTTGAGCCCAAATGAACGTGTAGTTGGGAAATTGCCACACTCGCAGGGTTTTTGGATGTTTTTGCATCCAGCTCCAACTCGCAGAGAGGGTTCCACTTGGGATGGCTGCAGTATCACCATGGCGTGGGATCAGCACAGGCGTGGCTTGTGCGGAGGGTAAAGCACAGAGGTGGGAGCACCAGGGTGGGACTGAGAGCCCTTCGATTGCAGGTATCTCCTCTTTTCTCTGGGTGGCAAACAAGTTATATGTGCTCTCCCCAAGGGATAACATGCATGAGTTGTGTGTCCCACCGGTAGCTTTTCAAAGTCAAAGCTGCCTGGCCTCTCCCACCAGACCTCCTTGTGGGGAAGGTGGAGAGAGGTCAGGTGGTTGAAAACTGATTGTTGCTGGACCACCTCTTGCCCTCAGCGCTCCCGGTGGGGTGAGGGGGCAAGTGGTGGCCAAGGTAGGCCTCTGGAGGCCTTAGACTCCCCCATGGGAGTAGGGGACTCCAGAGGCCACTGTCAACTGGGGTGTGAGAAGGCCACTAGATAAGGTTACAAAGCTCTCACTCTCTCTGTTCTCGGGAGGGGATCCTGAGGGTCCTATCCCTCCTGGGCAGGAGCCCGGAGGACCTGAGTCAGAGGGAGAAGGAAGAGAGAGAGCAAGAGAGGGAAGTGAAGGTGGAAAACCAAAAGTTGGGAAGATTGGAATGATGTCTTGCAGAGTGGCCTTCTGCCCCATCATATGATTTGGGTAGATGGAAAAGACCATGATGATTTTTTGAGTTAGGCTGAGTCGGTCCTGGGCAAAGTTTGTGTGATGGAATACGAGTGCCATGGTTGGGATGGCCAAGCCCAAGGAAAAGCCTGTTTACGCGTTGAAGTTTGGAGTGATGCTGGCAGAGTGTTATGTCTGGAATGGTAGATTTCAAAGGAAGGTTTGCATGGGTGTCGAAGACTGGGGTGATCTGGGACGAAGTTATTTGGTCGGTGATCACCTGGTCGCCAGTGATGGTTGCTATGAGTGGTACGGTAAGGAGTGCCTGAAACAAGTCAAGTGTTCGTATCACCTCTGCCAAGATGATAGAAAGAAGTCCAGAGACTATTTGAGTCGAGGAGATAGCAGGGAGTTGGTACATGTTAGTCGATGGCGTTTGGTGAACGTTTTCATGATGTCCGAAATGGAGTATTCAGAGTAGAAGGAATTGGAAGCAGTTATGCAGTTTGTTGACTCCTGGGTTCCTCGAGTGTCAGAACCTGCAAGATCGCCAAAAGAGAAGAAAAGCCCTGAGGGCTGTGGTGATTGTACAGGACGGGACAAGGCTCTTGAGGCTCTGAAGTCCGCTGAGGTTGACAAGGAGGACCAGACAGATCCAGCTGAGAAAGAGAGAGGAGCCGGACAGAGGACCCGGAGGGAGCAACAACGAAAATGCGGCTGAGGGCAAAGCAGAAGCCGCAAGAGGCACCGGTAGAGAGAGTGAACCTTCCCGTAAGCTCTCTACTCTGTGAGAGGGGGTCCTGAGGATCCTATTCCTCGTATAGGCTTGAGCCTTGAGGTCTTGCAGAGATGGAGGAGCAGAAGGTCTGGTTCTCCAAAGACACCCTGGAAGACTGGAATGAGTTGCTGTGAGGAGATCACCTGATAGCCACTGACGGCTATTCTAAATGGTATGGACAGAAGTACCTCAATGATGGCAAGGTGACATATCGCCTTTGCCGAGACAATCGAAGGAATGCAAGGAAAAGCTGGCCAAAGGAGATCAAAGATAGGTTGTACACATCAACTGTTGGGGCTTGAAGAACGGAAGGCTTGTTGGCGCTGGTTACCATGACAATGAGAAGTGGCACCAATCTTGGGGAATACTTGGTGCGGTCCAAAAGCCGGGGTCTGACGACGGCAAGAGGGGGGAGGCAGAGGATGTTTTCCCCCGGCCGCTTTGGACCGATGAAAGAGGTGAGTTGACGCGCCTGATTGAAAAAGGAGATGTTAGAAAGTTTGGAGGAAGTGACAAAAAGGCCTTCCAACTTGCGTTTGAAAGTACGATGTTGAACTCCGAGAAGCCCGAGAGCAACATCCTGTTGGAGGAGGAGATGCCGGAGGTGATCCCTAGTCCACACATCCACGCTTAAAGCAGGAGGGGGAAAAGATACCAGCTGAATTTGTACCGGCGAGGTTTGGTGAAGACCGTCGAACAACCGGTGAAGATCAAGGGGAGAGCCCTGGTCAATAAAGCCAGGCAAGTTCTTGGATGATCGGCCAGTGATTCTAGTCTTCAGAGGGACAATTGCCGCCACCAAGGTCGGCGCTCCAGCATGTCTTCCCACCAGAGGGGAAGGTCGTAAGAATGAGCGCAGATGGCTTGGTGACTTGGTGTCCGCCTTCTACCTCTTTGGTTAGCCACCGGGATGTCTAGTGATGAGGACCTTTGCAGAAAACGTCTCCTGGCGAAGTTTGGGGTTTTAAAAGGAAGGTGATACATACATTGGCGCAGCCAACCTACGGATGGGATGGTCATCGACCGTGAGAGTGCTTCAACATACCCACAGACGATTGAGATCATGGGGGCTCGGGTTGCTAAAGATCTGGAAGGGAAAAGCTCTGAAGAGCAGAGGCCTTGAGACAAGCCTATGCCCACTGGGGCATTCCCCTTTCTTTACAGAGAAGAGCCTTCTTTTGCGGTGAGAGCGGGTTCTTCGAAAAGGATTGCAAGTTATATCGGGTCGGGACGTCCATACGTTGCAATTCACACGACCCCAATTTGGTGTTTGTGATTGTGCCTGGAAAGACATCTCTGATGGTGAAGGATTGGTGAAATTGGAGGGGAAGCCAGTGGAGGAAATCCTGCTGGCAGGTTGCAACCAGCCTGAGTAACTGACCTGACGTCAAAGGTGCATGAGGTAGTGACTGCTTCAGATGCCAGCGAGCCAGGAGGAAGCTCGGTGTACGGTTCAGAGTTGACCAGCAGAGGATAGAGAGAGATATGCGCCCTGGAAGAAAAGGAGGATGATTTTTTTTAGGAGAAGGGGTGAATCTCGATGAGCCACAGAGTGTGCTAGTGTTTGAGTTCTTTACTGAGATTGAAGCCGTAGGCAGGGCTTCGGAACTAGCAGGACAGGAAGTTGATCGCCTGGTAATCATCGAGAAGGACCCTGAGTTTGAAGATTTGTCGCGACGTGAGGATCTCCTACCAAGGTGAAGTTGTGGAAAAGACCTGGACTGCCGCCTGAGGGATATGGAGCTTCGGTGCCTCTTGTTGAGCTGTGTGAGGGAGAACTGCGAGATAAGCTCCTCATTCCTCTGAGCAGCACCCTTCCTGAGGAAGGAATGCCACAAGAAATCCCACGAACTCAAATTCATGCCTCGAGGCAAGAATGGGAGAAGATTGCAGCTGAGCTGTATAAGAGAGGATTGGTGAAGAGAGTTCCGTCACCGGTGCTAGTCCGCGGCAAGTTCCTGGTAAGCGGAAGCTTTTGGAGTAGTGAAACCGGGAAAGTTCTTAGATGATAACCGCCCCATTTTGAGGTTGATCATGGACTTCAAAGGAACGAATGCGGCAACTAGAGTACTAGAGGGAGATGTGAGGAGTTTGATGGGAGCGCCGGCTTTGCAGCGCGTAGTGTTGCCTGCTGGGAAGGTTGTCCGACTGAGTGCGGATGACCTTGTGTGAGTTGGAGTATTGCAACATGCCCATCGAAGATTGGCCCTGGGATCGCCGTTGAGTGGCGGAGGAGGTCTTCTGGGAAAGTGTGAGATCCGTAGAGACAGCGTCTTTCCCAACCTAGAGGAGGAGGACGCACTATGGTCGCTATAGCTTGATGATGCAAGTCTTGTTGAGATCGTGGATTCTAGACTTGCGAAGGATTTGGAAGGAAACAGTTCAGAAGAACAAGAAGCTGTGGGGCCTGCCTATGCGCATTAGGAAAAGAGCGAAGAGCAGAAAGGCTAGGGGCAGTAGTAGATGGTGATAGTGGCACACTGAAGGGCTCGACGAAGAGAGCTTTAGACAATCTGTCCTTGGTTTTTCTGGCTGCTACGCCAAGAGAGAGTCCCTCCAGTTTTTCTTGGAACGAGAAGTTCACACACTTCAGTTCCGCAGGCCACTGTTTGGGGTGTTCAGCTACTTGTGGAAGGACGTTTCAGACGGTGCAGCCTCATTCAACTTGACGCAAAGTCAGTGGAGTAGTTCTGATGGCTGGATCCAGTCAAGCATTGAGGACTGGGAGCTAGGCTGCGTGGAGTTGCGCGTGCTTCGGAGGCGTGTGAGACCGGAGGAGGATCTGTGTATGGCTCAAAGCTGACCGCTTGAACCCGGGAGATGTGAGCCGCTTGAGGAGGAAGCAGATGATGTTGGAGGAGAGGGGATCAACCTGGAGGAGCCGCAGAGCGTCTTGGTGTTTGACTTCCTTCGGGGATTGGAGGCCTGAGCTGGGCCCATGGAGCTAGCAGGCCAAAAGGTTGATCGCCTGGTGGTGATTGAGAAGGATCCGGATTGCAGAAGCCTAAACAAGATGCGCTGGCCAGGATGTGATGTGGTGGCTGACATCGCTTAAGGGCCTGACAGGAGTCATTGCAGGTGGCTGATCGCCGTGCAGGGAGTTCACCTACAGGATCCTCGATCCAAGTTTTTCTATAAGTATGTGGAGGTTCTGGGGTGGATTGAAGATGTGGCAAGAGAGATGAGAGTGTGGTGTGTCAAGATGGTTGAAAATGCGGTCGGCGATGATGAAGGTATAAAAGAAATGAGTCAGCAGCTAGGGTGTCGCCCCTGTATATGTGCGCGAGTGGCAAAGAAAGGAGCACCTCAACCTGCACGAGCTGAGGGCAATCCTGAGGAGCTTGGAGTGACGAGCCCATTCAGCTGCTTTCCACTCATGCCGTTTCCTTCACCTGTCACATTCGCAGATCTGTCTGGCTGCTTTGTCAAAAGGTCGAAGCAGCTCAAGCCGGCGCTTTGAGAAGGATGCCCAGGAGGGAAATGAAGAGAAGAGAGTCCGAGAAAGGCTGTCAGTACAACAAGGTTCACGAGGACCTGCAGAACGTTATACGGTGGCGCTGCAGGAGTTGGTTTTGGTTTATAGAATAATGCTGTGGAAGTGGCGATGGTCTCGGTGAGCGCAAGGTTTTCAACTGTACCGGAGAGGTGTAGTGTTGCCGAGAGCAGAAGGCCAGTCGGCCATCCTTTCTCATACATGACGTTAAAGCTGCGCAACAAACGTGCTTGCCTGGGCAACGGTTCTCTTTAGTGAGAAAAGCGGGATTGCCTGACTGCAAGCTTTGCCTTTTCCTGAGTCATCGACGCATGCCTATGAAATTCGTGGATTTCCCACCGCAGCCTTTAAGTCGCTGTGGAAGGAGAGGGGCTTATGCCCAGGCCATGTAAATTTGACTAGCTTTTGGCCAAGGGCCGCTGGAAACATAATTTAACTTCCCACTGCAGTTTTTAAGTTGCTGTGGAAGGAGAGGGGCTTATGCCCAGGGTATGTAAATTTGACCAGCTTT